CACGGACGAACTGAATTTCATTACCAAAAGCAACGTAATTACAAGAGTTTAGCAATCCATACGTGCTTAACCAGAACCAACCAAGCTGCTTGTTGTACTGAATACCCAGGGTTCAGACAAAAGGCATCGAAAACTACCAAACATCAGCACAGCCTAACGCTAGAGCAATGTTGACCAAGTTTTAAGAATTCACGCCGCCAAGGCTATGAAGACTATGACTTATTACAAGCCCAGATCGGCTGTTACAGCACACAGGCCGTTCCAAACTGCACGCCAAACAGACATCCTCACTGCAGGATGTTTGTCTTGGTGATCATGAAGCTGTTATCTCCATCTTCCTTCTAACATGCTCCATCTTCCTTCTGACCTTGCTGATGAAACTGCAGGGCCACCAACTTCAGGATCTCTGCACCGTGCCCAATATGTTAACAAGGAGCAAATCAAACAGATGATCTCCGTGGGAGATTTAGTTCTCTTTCCTTCAAAACAGATGGCGTTTCTTGTCTTCCAAATGGCCCAACAGATTGCAGCCAAACCAACATCATACGCTTGTTTGCCATTTGGTAAACTCCACTTAATCTTGAACCAATATTGGGTGAAAGAGGATGGTCTGACAGACACTCCAAAGGTGAAGGCAAGAATGCTCCACACATATTTACTGACTGGACATTCAAAAAAAGAGATGAGATGCAGACTATCTGGGGGCAGAAGACACAAGAAGCACCCCTTCCACTTTCCTTTCATGAGGTTGTCTTTAGTCAGAATTGAGTTTTGTAAAGTCAGCCACATGAAGATCTTAATTTTGAGAGGCATCTTGGCCTTCCACATTTGTTTATTATGAGGACCGTAGCTATTACAGTGAGTTGGGGTCTCCTCGCATTGCACAGGCGAGGGTAAGGCTTGCCACTGACACCCTTCCCTAGACCCCGCAAGAGCAGGAGCTCTCCCTTTTTTACCGTAGCTATTACAGCAAAGATGTTTATAAACCGATTTCACTCTCCCAATTCCAAATAGCAACATCAATTTCATAATTGATTCTGTATCTAAACAGAATGTTATGAAGTTGTCGAAGCTCGTCTTGTAGACCTTCATTTAACCATCTCCGGAACTTCAAACTCCAATTCTTTATGTATAGATCATTTCCTGAACAATTTTGGACAGTACATATTTTATGCAGATCAGGAAACTTATCCTTCAGGGGAATCAGGGATATTTTCCACACCAAGTATCCAGCCAAAAATCAATAGATTTTCCATTTCCCAGCCTCATGGATCTCCCTTCATATATATATGTTTGATTTTAATAAGGTCATTCCACACAGGGGACTTGCTTGTTTTGTGAGTAATTTTTGTTAAACATTTACCTTCTAGATATTTCATTCTCACAATCTCCTGCCATATCCCATTTTCATTTTCCAATTTCCACCACCACTTGCATAACAAACTCATATTAATTTTCTTCAGATCGAAAGGCAAATACGCCTCTAACAGGACACCAGGAACTCACACACAAGCACAAGTGGTTTTGGTGGCTGGAATGACTTTGCCTTTTCTGTTCTCTTCTACTTAGCCAAACGTGAGCTACAAATCAGGCTGTGATAGCTTCCTAACTAATGCAGAATATTACCCAACTAATCAGCCTATTCCTCCAATTACTCCATGCTGAAATTTAGCTAAAGTAAATGCTATGAACCTAGACATTAGCATGCACCTAGACACACAGAATTATTTCCAACAAGATCTTTAATCTCTAGCCCCCCCCCCCCCCTTGTCTTTAGGTTAGTTATAATTTTCCATTTTACCAAATGGTATTTTCTTTTCACCCCCCTGGCTCCTGAGTTGTCTGGCAGGCCATGAACCAAAGAGGCCAAATCCTTAGTTCAGAAGGCTCTGCTGCGTCTGGTCCATCCTCTATGCACCTTTGGAGGGTCCCTCTGGAATATTATTGTTCGCGTGCGACTGGACTACTACCGATCAATTTTGGGAAACTGCTTTATAGACTTCTAGAGACCCTTTATGTAGTTGTAACAGAGTTTAGAAAATTTCCTAGACATGGCAACTAATCTGCTAATGAACCTGCTGTTAAGAAACATAGGGTACTCTAACTATCCTCAATCAATTTGGTTGATCTGTCCACCCTTTATTATATATATATATATATATATATATATATATATATATATATATATAAAAAAGAAAAGGCCTTTATCCAAAAAAAAATCCAAAAAAAAAAACACAAGCTTGGCCCAACAACAAAAGGCAGCTTTAAGTTACCGCTTACAGTTACCAGCCTGCGACTAGTTACTAGATTGGGAACACTGAACAGTACAGAACCTAGGAACTGAGAATTGCTGAACAAGCTAACAGCGTTCATGTTTCTTTAATGAAGTCGTCAAATTGAATTGCTGCACAAGGTACCTTTGCATGTTTCAGATTATGATGCCTCTGTATGCCTAGACATGGGATGCACCAATTAATCGGATCCGCTATAGAGCGGATCAATGCAGTATGCACAACTGATCGGTTCCCCTCTGCTCCGTGCGCCGTTGTACCATGGTGCTGCCTGAGCTAACTGTGCTACGAGATCGGGTAGATTGCCCCCCTTTCCCCCTCGATCCACCCACAAACCGAACCTACCAATTTCGCCCGATTTTCGCAACTACGCTCAAAAACCAAACCTGAACCATCACGAGATCTCAGCGATTACCTCCGTGATGACAGAGACCGCATCGTCCTCGATCAAGCTCGCGACATTAGAGCCCCCCGCCATCTCTTCTGGGATCGAACTTGGCCGCCGGTGCCGCACCTCAGGAATTAAAGTGAAGCTCCAAGACGAGCCGTGATGCGGAGGCACGACACACGAAGCAGCTACGGCGGCGGCGGCCTGGCTGGCAGTCTGGCACTGATACGAGAGGAAAGATGCGAGGGGATAGGATCGGTGCGCTAGATAGGACATTAATTATATATATATATATATATATATATATATATAATATATATATATATTCTATATATATATTTAAGCTAAGTTACGATAATTAATACGCTAATTTTAAGTTACGATAATTACTAGCTAATTTATTATTACGTAAGTGATTTACTATAATATTACGGTAAATATCACCGTGAGTTATACTAACACGGGTATCGTAAATACATATTTATGTTATCGTAAATTGGTATAAATATTATCGTAAATCAAGGTGGCTATAGAATAAGTTATTCTATGGCCAGCTGCAGAATAGCCTTACCGTATATATATATATATATATATAGCCATCTCCATTTACGATAATTTTATATATTAATTTACGATAATGTCAATACATATTTATGATAGTTGGTTTACTATAACACATAGGGATATTTACCATAACGTTATAATAAACCACTTAGTAAGGAGTTACTATAATCTCGTAAATTAACATAGTAATTATCGTAACTCAAAGTGGCTACAAAATAAGTTATTTTGTAGCCAGCTACAGATAGTAGTTCTACGGAGAGTATATTCAGTAGCCAGCTATAAAATAAGTTATTCTGTAGCCATCTCCGTTTACGATAATTTTATATACTAATTTACGATAATGTCAATACATATTTACAATAGTTGGGTTACTATAATACATGGAGATATTTACCATAACGTTATAGTAAACCACTTAGTACGGAGTTACTATAATCCCATAAATTAATATAGTAATTATCATAACTTAAAGTGGCTACATAATAAGTTATTTTGTAGTCAGCTACAGGTACTAGTTCTATATATATATATATATACTACATCCTAGAACACTATTCTACACCAAAAGTTCAGTAGTCGCATTTCAGTATCATTTAGTATTTCATGGTTCTGGGTGTAGTACTAAGTGATACTGAACACGGTTCAGTAGTAGTAAGTATTTTTTCGGTCAGTTTTAATTTATGGTGTAGAATATTCTACATATAGTGTAAAATAGCGCTATATATATATATAAAATAAGTACTTGTTACTAAATTCGTATAATAGGATCCACGGCATCATAGCCCTCTTAAGACCTTGCATACATGTGTATTCACTTCAATCCACATGTATTGGAGTGAAATAGAATAAAATTTAGTTCAATTCTATTCCAATACACTTCAACACATATAGATTTAAATAAATATATGCGCATCCAAACAAGGCCTAACATATTTAGACCATGCCTTCCTTGCACGATGCATGAAACTAATAACACCAGTAGTGAAAATAAAAAATAGCTCTATTGTCATAACGTCATATTGTTGGAGAATAGCTCTAGCGTTGGAGAGTGAAAAGATATAGAAAATATTTTTTATATAAATGGCTATCTAAATAGTAATTTAATGATAATTTAGAAAGTGAACTTTAAAAAGACTCTTAGAGATGCTCTAAGTCAATCACTAGATCTTTAGTTTGGCTATTTACAAACCTAATACAAATTATTACAAAACTAATCACCGAAGGTATTTTTGTCAAATATTTTCCAAGACGGCTTCAACTCCATCAAAGAGGTCACTCCACATAACATAAGAAACAAGAGCCAGAGGTAGCAAACGGTTCAGTGGTTACAAGCTTGTGTAGCAGGCCTATAAGACAGGAAACGTAGACAGGCGCAAAGCACATGACAATTCTTTATGAGTAGAAGCACCTCTTTATGAGTAGAAGCACCGAATGTTTTGCCGTCGATCAGGGGGTGTGCAAAAAAGAGAGATAATTAAGTCAGGGAGCAAACTTGCACATTTATGACCGAGAAAACTTTTGCATCTAACAGTGCTCCTAATTTTTGCTCAAAAAGAAAAAAAAAAGTGCTCCTAATTGTTCTGCCCATCAGGCATCAGTCAGAGCTATATCCCAGAACATTTTCAAGAAACTACCTGGGTTGGAGCCCAGCGTACCACGAGATACCCAACATGATTTGCACTGTCGGTCACGTGCGAATGCTCCAGTTGCCCTAACGCTACTACTTACACAAAACAAGCAACTCACGGAACATGCTTCTACATTTCATAATGGTCCTTCTGAGGAACAGCATCAAGGTAATTCTTGAGCAACCTTTGATCCATGATCATGTTAGGAATCTGCAGAGTAGCAGTTCACAGCTCAGCCCATGACTTGAGGAACCAAACCGAAAAAACAGCACATAGCAGGTCTGAGTCAGTACCTTTTCACCGAAGAAAATCTTTGAGTTATTGGCGATTGATTCAATGAACCTCAGCTCAAGATACTCAGGTGTCAGTTTGAGCCTATTAGCCTCTGCTTCCTTCAAGATCCTGGACAGACCAAACCAAATGTGGTTAGTAGGAAAAAAGAAAACAAGAGGCACGCATGAGCAGAATGGATTTGAAAAGAATACGGTATTGCCATCCATGCCTGTAGTAGTTTGCATCTGCTAGTGCTTTCTCTCGTGCAAGGTACATTTCGTTATCAATCTGCTCCTGTCTCTTGGAACTGTCCTTCTCCATCAGCTTTTGCTCCATCAGGATCTTGCTCACCTGTGCGTTCTTCTCTGCTTCAGATAGTGCAATCTTCTTCTGTGTTTCTGCCTCCTTCTCCGCTACCTTTTGCTTCTCGATGGCGATCAGTGCCTACATTGTACAGAATACATAAATTTAAGTAAAACACATGAGCAGATACAATGAACCTTTGAGTTCTTTTAAGTACTAAATCGACACGAGTTCATGCATATGAATATGAACTATGTATTTTATCTTCAAGTATGAAGTTAGCCTCACAAATATGTCCATGGATATCATGGTTTGCATAGTGTTGGATGATCTAAACATCACAGCTTTAACATGATGGCACAGGATACAGAACAGAAATTTATAATAAAACCATAGCAAAAGATAAGGAATGGAAGTTTAACACTGAAGTACTACTAGGGCATATATGCAGTCAGTTCCTTAAGAAGTTCAGGAACCACCTTCTAAAGCTTGCAAACTTCAACTATGCAACTCCTACATTTTAGTTAATCATGAAAAATGGAACGCCTATTATGAATTAAAGAAATTTATCCAACATTTAAATTAAGTTAATAGCCATCACTTACCATTGCACTAGATGTATGCATATGCTGTGACTCACTAGAAGATACTGTGTTCAAAGGGTACAGTTTAAACATATGATCTGGTCACATGAAGTACATACCTTTGTACGCTCCTCCTCCATAAGTTCAAAGTTTCTTCTGATACTACCAGGTATATTTGGCTTCGTAACACGAACACCGATGATTTCAATTCCAGGAGCATAACGTGTACAGTCTCTTTGAATAGCTTCTTTCATTGTTTCATCAATCTGTAATTTTTGTAGGACAGATAAGGTGTGTTACAAATGTGGGTTTAAGGTCAACTATAGTTGAGTAGGGTTTCATGCACAAAAGGACCAGCTAACCTGATCGAACATGTCAATGTAAACTTGCTGCAAACTGTGAGCACTGCAGAACTGGTTAATCTCATGATGAATTTTATCATATATCCATGTTTTGTCATAGTGCACACCATAATTGAGTAGGGTTTCATGCACAAACTCTTTGCGGAGGCGGTTTACAACCTGCACACACAACAGTCAATCAAGCAGTTCAGAAACAGGCAGATGGCCATCTTTGTAAAAAAGTATAGAATTGTAATAGAAAGAAGAGTAGCACTATACCTCTATCTTGTCAAAGCTGATCATAACACCACCTTTTGTTCCACAAGGAATATCTCTGACCTGGTTTAACATAATGATGAGGACATCACTTCTACAGATACAACCACACCACCTACAGCTATAGTACCATCCATTCCACCATCTGAAGCTAGGCCAGCAATTCACAAATTTTACACAAGAAGAGATCGAAATGTGCTCCTAATCAGGAACCTTGGTGTTGAAGATAAAGATATTTTAGCTGATATTTTGTGCTATATTTGTGGCTGTCCACAGGCAGTCACCACTTGCAGCCAGCTAGAGTATAGTAGGCTAAACTATTTGTTTGTTACTTGTTAGCTGTCCAGATTCATGGAACAGCCTCCATATTAACACTAGTAATAGGATTAGCTGTTGCCAGTACATTGTAGTAGCATGCACTGTAGCAGCAGCCATTTTGGCTATAAAAGGAGGGGTACCTCTATATGTAAGAGTTGGGTTTTGTCTTAGTTCAGTTCCTTTGAAACTACTGCTTGTGTTGTCTCTTGTGTCGGTTAGACCAACAGACCAACTTCTACTCAAAGCCCCATCTTAATATTTCACTACATACTTGTAATTTCAGATTGCTTGCACCTTGTTCTTGCTAGTTTTCTTCCATTTCTTGCAGGAACAGACCCTAGTGGTCAGGTCAGCTTGGTTTTGGCTAGGCTGATAACATCTCAAAGGTTGGTTCAGCGGTTGCTAGGCTATTGGAACCTCTTGTTCAGTAGCCTGGAACGTGTGAGTCACCCTCACAATTGAGGGCATCTCATCTCACCGAAAGGTTGGGCCTCTAAAGCTTGGTTAGCCATACTATAGCTATGTCCCATCGCCTTACCTCCTTTCATCCTTTTCAACACCTCTCTAACCTCAGATTCTTGGATTCTCCGCACAAAGCGCCTATTGGTGTCATCAAAAGAGTCATCCAACTGAAAGGTTGTGTCCATATTCTCACCATTGAACAATTTGTCAAAATACTCTTGCCATCGATGTCGGATCTCATCCTCCTTCATCAAGAGATGCTCTCTTTCATCCTTAATGCACTTAACTTGGTTGAAGTCCCTTGTCTTTCTCTCACGAACTCTAGCCATCCTATAAATGTCCTTCTCTCCTTCATTCGTACCCAAATGTTGGCAAAAATCCTCGTACGCTCTACCCTTTGCCACACTTACAGCTCGCTTTGCAGTCTTCTTTGCTACCTTGTACTTCTCTATGTTGTCCACACTCCTGTCATGGGACAAGCGTCTATAGCATTCTTTTTTCTCCTTAATAGCCCTTTTGACTTCCTCGTTCCACCACCAAGTATCTTTAGCCTCACCTCCACTTACTTTGGTTACTCCACACCCCTCTGAGGCCACATTCCGGATGTTGGTTGTCATCTTCTCCCACATATTGTTTATATCCTCTTCTTCCTTCCAAGAGCCCTCTTTGATAACCCTTTCCCTGAATACCTCTGATGTCTCTCCTTTCAGTTTCCACCACTTTGTTCTTTCAATCTTAGCTTGTTTATCCCTACGAGCACGCACCTGAAAACGAAAGTCTGCCACCAAAAACTTATGTTGAGAAACAACACTCCCCTGGTATCACCTTGCAACCCAAGCATGCTCGTTTGTCCTTTCTTCTTGCGAGGACAAAGTCAATCTAGCTAGAGTGTTGTCCGCTACTAAAGGTCACTAGATCAGATTCTCTCTTTCTAAAAAAAGTGTTGGCTATCATCAGGTCAAAAGCTACCGCGAAGTCCAGAACTTCCTCCCCCTCCTGATTCCTACTACCATACCCAAAACCTCCATGAACTGCCTCGAAACCTGTGCTAATATTTGGTTTAGAAACTATCAAAGAGCTATGAGTATGATGCTAATTTTAAAAAAATAATGTTGCATTGCAAGGAAGGAAAGGATTGTGTTAGCGCGGCGAGCCAATGTAAAAACTTAGCCACTTTTATAGAGATGAAATACAAAAGAATCCCGTTGGGACATAACCCTCTTAGCGACGCGCCATGTCAGAACCCGGATATGGTGTTAAATGAGCAAGGGCCGGGTCGTCACCCCCGTGATGCGCCGTGTCACGATCTGGACACGACGTCAAGTGAGCAAGGATCGGGTCGTCGCATCCTTAGTGATGCGCCACATCGGCGCTCGGGTGTGGTGCAAAATGAGCAAGGGTCTTCATACCTACCTCGGCGGGTGCGAAGGATAAAGAAACTAGTCGAGCCAACTAGGATCCATTTAGATAGTTGGAATGTAGGATCCCTTACGGGTAAGCTAAGAGAGTTAGTGGACACAGCGGTTAGGAGACGTGTAAATATCTTATGCGTCCAAGAGACTAAATGGAAAGGGCAGAAGACGAAGGAGGTGGACAATACCGGCTTCAAGCTCAAGTACACAGGGACAACTTCAAATAAAAATGAAGAGTTTTGATTGATAACAGTCTCAAGGATGGTGTGATGGAGATGAGATGGCACGGGGATAGGATCATCTTTGTTAAACTTGTCATTAGTGATATATTCTTAAACGTAATTAGTGCGTATGCCCCAAGTAGGCCATGATGAGAGTGCTAAGCGGCTTTTCTAGGAAAACTTATATCGCTTGGTTAGAGTTGTCCCTAGTAGCGAGAAGCTCTTTATAGGAGGTGATCTTAATGACCATGTAAGTATATCAAGTGCAGATTTCGAGACGGTTCATGGGGGTTTCGGATATGGTAGTAGGAACTAGGAGGGAGAGGAAGTATTAGATTTCGCCATAGCTTTTAATCTGATGATAACTAACACTTTCTTTCGTAAGAGACAGTCCCATTTAGTGACCTTTAGTAGCGGCCAGTACTCTAGTCAAATCGACTGTCCTTACAAGGAGGGATAAACGAACATGCGTGGAACGTAAGGTGATACTTGAAGAATGTGTGGTCGCTTAACATAAGCTGGTGGTGGCTGACTTCCGCTTTCTGGTGCAAACTCGTGGAAACAAACTAGCTAGGGTTGCTAGAATGAAGTGGTGGAAATTAGAAGGGGAAACATCAAAGACCTTTAAGGAAAAGATCATTGAAGAGGGCCCTTGGAAGGATGAAGGCGATACAAACAGCATGTGGGAGAAGATGGCAACATGCGTTTGGAAGGTTGCTTCAGAAGTGCTTGGAGTGACCACAGGGAGCGGATGCGACTCAAAAGACACTTGGTGGTGGAATAAAGATGTGCAAAAGGCTATTAAGAAAAAGACGGAGTGCTATAAGCGCTTGTATCATGACAGGTGTGCAGACAACATAGAGAAGTACAAGGTGGCAAAAACTGCAAAACGAGCGGTGAGTGAGGCAAATGGACGGCCTATGAGGACCTTTACCAACATTTGAGTACGAAGGAAGGAGAGAAGGACATTTATAGAACGACTAGGGCTCGCGATAGGAAGACAAGGGACTTCAACCAAGTCAAGTGCATAAAGGATGAGAGGGAGTAGCTCTTGGTGAAGGAGGATAAGATCAAACATAGATGGCAAGAGTATTTTGATAAATTATTCAATGGTGAGAACGAGAACACCACCGTTCAGCTGGACGACTCGTTTGATGACACTAACAGACGCTTTGTGTAGAGGATTCAAGAATCGGAGGTCAAAGAAGCCTTGAAAATGATGAAAGGGGCAAAGCGATGGGTCCTGATGATATCTCAATCAAGGTGTGAAGATGTCTCGGAGATATAGCTATAGTATGGCTAACCAAGATGTTCAACAATATCTTTCGATCGAACAAAATGTCCGAGGAGTGGAGAAGAAGCATATTGGTACCAATCTATAAGAACAAGAGAGATATACAAAGTTGTACTAATTATCGAGGAATTAAGTTGATGAGCCACACTATGAAGTTATGGGAGAGTCATCGAGCAGTGGCTGCGAGGAACGACGCAGATATCAACAAACCAATTTGGTTTTCATGCCCCAAAGGTTAACCACAGAAGCAATTTTCTTAATAAAACAAGTTATGGAGCGGTTTAGAGAGCAGAAGAAGGACCTCCACATGATTTTAGACAAACATAAAGTCCCATCAAAGTACGTGACCCTCATTAAGGACGTGTACAACAATGTTGTGACTAGTGTTCGAACAAACGATGGTAACACAGATTACTTCCCGATTAAAATTGAACTTCATCAAGGGTCAGCCTTAAGCTCAAATTTATTTGCCTTGGTAATAGATGAGGTTACCAGAAACATACAATAGGATATCCCCTTGATATATGTTGTTCGCTGATGATGTAGTGTTAGTGGATGAAAACCAGATGGGAATAAATAGAAAACTAGAGTTATGACGGCAGACCCTTGAATCTAAAGGTTTTAGATTGAGCAGAACTAAAACCGAATACATGAGATGCGACTTTGACGGATCTGCACAGGAGGAGGGAGATGTTAGTTTGGAAGGTCAAGTAGTGCCTAAGAATGATACCTTTCGATATCTGGGATCAATGCTACAGAGGGATGGAGATATTGATGCGGACGTTAGCCATAGAATCAAAGGGATCAAGTGGCGACAAACTTCTGACATTCTCTGTAACAAGAGGGTACCACAAAAGTTAAAAGGCAAGTTTTATAGAACGACGATTAGACCGGCTATGTTGTATGGAGCAGAATGTTAGCCTACAAAGATTCGATATGTTCAACAACTGAGTGTTGCAGAAATGCGTTACGATGAATTTGTGGTCACACAAAAATAGACCGAGTTCGGAATAATGATATACGTGATCGCCTAGAGGTAGCAACAATTGAAAAAAAGCTTATCTAACGTCGGTGAAGGTGGTTTGACCATGTCCAAATGAGACCTCCAGAGGCACCAGTGCATTATAGAGTCCTAAGTCAAGCTAATAATATGAGGAGAGATAGAGGAAGACCAAAATTGACATGGGAGAGGCAATAAAAAGACATTTAAAAACTTGGGATATACCTAGAGATCTATGTTTGAATAGGAGTGCTCGGAAAGCAGCTATTGAAGTGTCCGAACCGTGACTTAGGGCTCTTGGTGGGTTTCAACTCTAGCCTACCCCAACTTGCTTGGGACTGAAAGGCTATGTTGTTGTTGTTGCTGCTGCTGCTGCAAGGAAGGAAAGGGCTGAAATAAGTACATTGTGAGTGATGGACTTTTATTTCGTGCTAACAAGCTATGCATTCCAGCTAGCTCTATCCGTCTTTTGCTGTTACAGAAGGCCCATGGAGGTGGACTAATGGCACATTTTGGTATGAAGAAGACAAAAGATGTGCTAAGCGACCATTTCTATTGGGCAAAGATGAGACGTGATGTCGAGCGCTATGTGGCACGCTGCACCACTTGTCAAAAAGCTAAGTCGCATCTTAACCCACATGATTTATACCTGCCTCTACCTATTCATAGTGCTCCTTGGGAGGATATCTCGATGGATTTTATTTTAGTACTGCCTAGGACAAAGAAGGGGAGAGATAGCATTTTTGTTGTCGTGGATAGATTCTCTAAAATGACACACTTCATACCTTGTCATAAAAGTGATGATGCTACACATATTGCTGATTTTTTTAGGGAAATAATTCGCTTACATGGAGTCCCTAATACAATAGTCTCTGATCGTGATATAAAATTTTTGAATCATTTCTGGAGGACACTTTGGGCTAAATTGGGGGACAAAGTTACTATTTTCTACTACATGTCAATATGTCATCCCCAAACATGCTTAGAGCTATTCTAAAGAAGAATTTGAAAATGTGAGAGCAATGTTTGCCTCACGTAGAATTTGCTTATAATCGTTCGGTACATTCTACAACCAAGATGTGTCCTTTTCAAGTTGTTTATGGTTTTATACCTCGTGCACCAATTACTCTACCATCTTCAGAGAAGGTAAACTTTGATGCTAAAGAACGTTCTGATTTGATCTTGAAAATGCATGAAATTACTAAAACAAACATAGAAAACATGAATGAAAAGTATAAAATTACGGGTAGTCAAGGTAGAAAGAAAATCACATTTGAACCTGGAGATCTAGTTTGACTACATTTGTGAAATGATAGGTTCCCAAACTTAAGAAAATCAAAGTTAATGCCTAGAGCTGATGGTCCTTTTCGTATACTAGAGAGGATAAATGATAATGCTTATAAACTGGATCTGCCTATAGATTTTGGGGCTAGTCCCACCTTTAATGTTTCAGATTTAAAGCCATACATGGGAAATGAAGATGAACTTGAATCGAGGACGACTCCATTCCAAGAAGGGGATGATGATGAAGACATCACTTCTACACATACAACCACACCACCTACAGCTATAGTACCATCCATTCCACCACCTGAAGCTAGGCCAACAATTCACAAATTTTACACAAGAAGAGATCGAAATGTGCTCCTAATAAGGAACCTTGGTGTTGAAGATAAAGATATTTGAGCTGATATTTTGTGCTGTATTTGTGGCTGTCCGCGAAGGGCGGGCCTGGTGCAAGCGGTAGTCTTACCGTCTGTGACCGGAAGGTCCCGGGTTCGAGTCGCGGTCTCCTCGCATTACACAGACGAGGGTAAGGCTGGCCACTGACACCCTTCCCCAGACCCCGCACAGAGCGGGAGCTCTCTGCACTGGGTACGCCCTTTTATTTGTGGCTGTCCACGGACAGTCACCACTTGCAGCCAGCTAGAGTATAATAGGCTAAACTATTTGTTTGTTACTTGTTAGCTGTCCAGATTCATGGAACAGCCTCCATATTAACAGTAGTAATAGAATTAGCTGTTGCCAGTGCATTGTAGTAGCATGCACTGTAGCAGCAGCCATTTAGGCTATAAAAGGAGGGGTACCTCTATATGTAAGAGTTGGGTTTTGTTTTAGTTCAGTTCCTTTGGAAACTACTGCTTGTGTTGTCTCTTGTGTCGGTTAGACCAACAGACCAACTTCTACTCAAAGCCCCATCTTAATATTTCACTACATACTTGCAATTTCAGATTGCTTGCCCCTTGTTCTTGCTGGTTTTCTTCCATTTCTTGCAGGAACAGACCCTAGTGGTCAGGTCAGCTTGGTTTTGGCTAGGCTGATAACATCTCAAGGGTTGGTTCAGCGGTTGCTAGGCTATTGAAACCTCTTGGTCAGCAGCCTGGAGCGTGTGAGTCACCCTCACAATTGGAAGGCATCTCATCTCACCGAAAGGTTGGGCCTCTAAAATTCCACGTCACATAATGAAAAGCATAAATATGTCTACCATAAAGTCATGTTTCGCACGCCGAGTGGACTAATTTATATCTATCATAAACTCATCTTAAATAAAAATACAGTAAGCTTTCAGTTTGCAGCTAGGAAAATCAAGTAAGGTGCGATCAAAACAAGAAGATGCAGATTTTGGTATGACCATATGAGGTAAACAAGCAGCCGCACTTTGCAGGTGAACTAAACTGTGGTTTCAGTGGAAACATAGGATCATAAACCAAAGGGCAAAGAGAACATTCTCACTCGCCTGGTCTGTTTGAAGTGTAACCTGTATTGGCTCATACTGGGTGATCAAAGGGAGCTTCAGATGAAACCCTAGAAGCACATGAAAAAAAATTAATTAAGATGCACGAAAATAAATTTAAAAGAGAGAAGGACATTACCAAAAAAAAATGTACCTGGAGGAGTGATTGTCTTAAGAAGAGCACCTCCTCTCCAGTATACCCCAACATGTCCTTCAGGAACTTGATGTAGAACACTTGATGGGACTGAGAGTGAAATCTACATATTACCAGTGCACAAGGTATTCAATACCAAAGAGGTTAACAATATGCTTGTACAATCGTACTGCTTTGCCTCAATTACAGAAAGAAAGGGGGGAAAACATATCTACTGTACACTTCTGCCTTTTCAATTCCTAGTACTACCTTAATTATGCCAGTCACTGGATTAAAATAACCACCCATAAAAAAACAAAAAGAAATAGCATACTCAAATAAAAGTTAACCAGGAGTAGACTATGCCTATGTGAAGCGTGGTAAAAGACCAAAATTGGACTGCCTACCTTGATTGTTAATATCAACTGACACTTGTAAACTTTATTTAGAATAGCAATAACCTTTTAATAAATTAAGCCCCAAAATATATCACAATTAATACATCATTTGATATTGTTTAACAAGACTAACAGATATTTGGGTAATGTTTTTTTTCTTTTGAAGGATCGAAAGTGGACTTGCGGACTTGCAGTGGTCTTTGACAATCTCCAGAGCTCGCTCATTGGCAGTGTACGCTGTCCATGCCAATGGAACCCCAGAATTGATGCGCGATATCACAATGGAAGATGAGCTGATCTCGAGTCCCAGGAGCTTGGTTACAGATCTTGCAACGGTCGGAGGGTGTAATGGCTGTTTTACAAACTACAGTAAAAGGGGGTGCCCTATCTTTTCCCCTCAGTGCCTAGTGCCTTCGCAGGATGGTGGTCTTGGGCAACAAGGTTTCAAATTGATGTGAAAAATTGTCCTAAAACATAATAAAATTCTCCGCAACATTAATACTCAATCACAACTTTGTTACTTCACTAGCTTCACATGCCTCCGTTCAAAAATAAACAAAGCACATAACTAGGCCATGCTTCACTGTGTACATTGTTGAACCTTTTTTTAAACTTGACGAGTTTTCTTACTTAGCAGAAACTACCTAGCTTTTAACATTTTTTTAATAGTGTGGATCCTGCATACAAGCACATGCAGCCATCTTGTATAATAAATTTTAAAGGATATAAAGGACCTTGCAGAGTCACTGATGTATCCTTTGTCCAAACTATCAGGATAGTGTAACTTATTCTTGCAAAATTCCAACTATTTTACTAGAAAGCCTGGCCAACAGTATTTAACTAGATGGCAAAATGATGTATGTTGACCTTTTGCATTCTATATGAGTCAAAATTGATTAAATTTTAGTACAGATTGTTGTTTAACCAAGGCAGGGCATCAAATTCAAAGCATGTCTACATCTTGGATAAACTAAACCTGAATTTGCAACAGTATTATTTAAATGTTCCTTGCCAAGTTCACCCCATAGCCTCAGAAGAGGGTTTTGCATAAGCTATCACCTAGTACGGTAGTACCACTAAAATATATTTCGCATTGAAAACAGGTAGATGTATATGTAATCCAGAGAACTATTTGAAAATTAAAAAGTAGGATGATTCAGAAGGTAATTTCATTATTTAGTCACTTGTGAGAAACTGGGGATACAAAGTTACAAACCAACTAGGAAGCATTCTAAAGTACTAAGATGTTTCCTCTTCAGATCTAGTACCCTGCTGATGCTGATGCGAAGAGAGCGATAGAAACAATACCACATAACATGAAATAGAAACTTGATAAAGACCCATACAGTCAATACTTCCAGCCATTGTATAAAAACATAAAAGGAAGGCCCCAAAGGAGTGATAGAGACATACTTAGAACTAAAAAGTTATTGCAGCATTAACTCAAGACAGATACCTTCTGACATGTTTGATTCGGATAGAAAGCAATCAGCAATATCTACAAACACAGCCCACTAAACAAATATGGAAACTTAAAGGCACATAAATTGACTCATTTTGGCAAATGTAATGCATTATCGAGACCAGCTCAATGATTGAACAATATAATCAATTCATGCATACACAATCTCATCATTGAAGGCAACTCCCAACCCAGAAACAGGGATGGTTTCTATGTTCATTAATTAGGTGCCAATTAAGCAAAATGGTGATGTGGCATTGGAATTAAAGAAAGCTATGTCTACACAGGAACCAAGATTTGAAGAGATGTGATAGGTAGATGATGGAGAGAGAAGACACATGATTGGACAAAAAAATATTTTGAAGAAACTATCCTGGGAATATGGTTTCTATGTGTAATGTCTACATGATTTAACAAGTATAGAAACAATCTCATAGTTTCGGTTGGGAGTTTGGACTGCTCTAGTAGAATCAACAATTCCAGCCCCAAGGCACCAAACTTGAACCCCAAGAGGCAACAAACTACCATCATGTAGTACAAATTTTTTTTTCTTTGCTTGGGACATAGTTTAGTCCTAAGGTGATACTTCAATTGTCGTCAAACATAAAACTGTACAAGTAACATCACACGGAGGAGTAGGATGAACACAGCAAATAAGAGTACAAGACTATGTGAGAAAATATAGAAATATAAGATGAAAATGATGAATTGGGTCACACAATCAATAGTTCCAAACTATTATATAAAATTCCCCCAACAGGACCAAATAGATCCCATTTGGACCTGAAGTGTGTTGGTTGGTGGTAAACATGTAGGTATTAGGAGCAGCAACAGCAAGCAGTATCAGAAGGCACATTGCCCCTAACAAATGTGGCAAAAGGCAGAAACATCTACTCATTTTCAGCAAATATAATGAATAACTGATATAATCTGCTCATATCACCTGCACAACTCCCCCAATCAATTCAATCATGCGGCATCACTTAAGCAGAATGTAATAACCACATATACGCTAGCAAGAGCAGGCACTCACCAGATCGGCACCGGCATCCAAAATGCATCAAACCTAAACCCCAAAACAAGCAACGCCCTACCATTAACCCCGAGCCCCACAGCAGGATAACGCGAATCCACGCCACAGTACCCAGTAGTTCCCCACCGATCGAGTCCAGGACCAGCCAATGAGGCGCGCCCGCGCGGCTGAGCATCTACCTACTCGCGATCGGGGGGAAATGATCACAAGAGGAAATCAGCGAGATTAGCGAGGTAGGAGAGGCCAAACGGCCACGACTCACCAGGACGAAGCAGATGCCGATGAAGGCGACGACGCCGAACGCGAAGGGGTCAGCGCCGGGCGGGGGCGGCTGGCGCCCGCTCGGCTGCTGCTGGAAGCGCGGCATCGACGGCGACGGCGACGGCGGCGGCGGCGAGCGGCGGCTCTGCGCCGAGTCGGAGGTGACGTCGGACATCGCGAGGAGGGTGGGCGGGGGTCCACCGGAACCCCTAGGCGAGGTCGGTCAGGGCTTGGCGCCTTGGCAAGTGGTGCGGGCGACGGGGTGGTCGGCGCGGCGAGGAGGACGAAGCCACGAACGAAGGCTGGGTGTGCGCGGTCAGTTGGGTTTGGGTCAAGTCAAGTCTCTCAAATCTGATTATCTCAACCTTCTCGGGTGCTGGGGATAAAGTTTAGCACCACATCGAATATTTACGTACTAATTAGAAAAACTAAATCTAAACCTAATTAAATTTAATAGATTTATCTTGTAAATTAATCTCAATATATATAATTAGTTTTATAATTAGTCTATATTTAATCTTTTCCTTTTTTTTTTTTTTTTCCTTTTGTTTTTTAAAATATGTATCGGCCGCCTCGGGCCCTTCCTGGAAAGGACAGCTCTTGCTAGCAGCCTCTCTCGATCAACTTTGAGAGTTGTCTAAATCTTTTAAGATTGATCAAATTTATATAAAATAAGGTTAATAGTTATGATATCAAGCTTTTATCATTAGATGCATCATGATATATATTCTCATAGTGATTTTATTTGATGTCATAATATTTATGTCTATACTATAAATTCTGTCAAATTTAAAAGAACTTAACTTAAGAAAACTTTAAAAGTTCATTAATCTGGGGCCAGAAGAAATATACAAAATTTTGGTTGACGAGGTATATTTATTTATTCCATGTATACATAAAAAAAATGCCGAACATGACTTGTGCATATTTTGGCATGGAATGATTTTGGTGAGATTAACTAATAGGTGGTGCAAGTGCAACAATTTTGATGAGGTTGATTAATACATGATGCGGCAACAATGTAGGCTTTTTTGGTGTCCCTACGGAGGTAGAGGCAAATCCAAGCAAGGAATAAAGAGAAAGAGAAAAGTATGTATTGTTCAAAGATTTGACACTTATAAATGTCTTTTTTCTTTAAGGGATAGAGCACGTGACTGCCAATTATGGTCTAGACTGAGCATGCAAACAATGGTTCTAGGGAGGTTTTCAACGAAAAACAACTACTACAACAAGTAACTACGTTAAACTCTATTCGTAAAAAAGTTTCAAAAAAAAAACTCTATTCGTAAATAATCCGCTCACAACACCAGCTAATTGCAACACAGTACAATAAACCACACCAAAGCACAGATATGTAACGAAGAGGCAAATGAATTGCTCCACCAGATCTCGGAAGACATTTCCTATTGAAGCTATTAATGGCTCCAGGGGTCTGATGGCAACAATTCGGCCCTGTTTGGTTCTTTAGGCGCCTCCTAAAATTCCTGTCACATCGAATGTTTGATACATACATGAAGTATTAAATATAGACTAATTATGAAACTAATTGCATAACTTGCGACTAATTTACGAGACGAATCTTTTAAGCCTTAATTAGTCCATGATTTGACAACGTGGTGCTACAGTGAAATATGTGTTAGTGATAGATTAATTAGGCTTAAAAATTAGTCTCGGAAATTAGTCTCCATATATGTAATTGGTTTTGTAATTAATATATATTTAATGCTCCTTAGTAGTACCTAAACATTCGATGTGACATAAATTTTAGGAGCAACTAAAGAACCAAACACCCCCTTCACATCAACGGTATGTATAGTCGTGGATTCGTATGCATTGGGCTTCCTATCATTTTAATTTCCCAAATCTTCTACCACATTACATCATACAAGACTAGCTATTTAACGAAACGATGATTTATCGTAAGATTTGCTCCAACGTCTTAATGACAAAGACAATGTTGCCTTTGTAGGTTGATTCTCTAGTATCCAAGAATCTTCTGCTTATGCAAAGTTGATTTTGACTTTCTCATTCAACATTGTTAATCATACCAAATCTCTTATCCGAAAACTTATATTAGATATTTGGACCTATAAACTATCTCAAATAAAAAAGCATCACCTTTAAAGTTTTAGATCTCTTTAAACTTTACAGCTTTAATATAAAGTTTATCCTTATTTTAGATCTTATATGAAAAGGTTATGATTTTTTTTGTTTTTGATAAAATAGCTATTACTGTCGGTTCAAGCCACGAACCAACAACGTTCACGTATTCAGCAGTGATCGGCGGTTCTCTAGTAGGGTTCAAAAACAGAAGCATTCCTCCATGCTATTGTTGGTGGGCTCGTTTGGGCCTGGTAACATCCATGCATGGGCGCGGCCTGCAAACCTCTTCTTCTAGCTTTCCTTTCTCCGAGAACAATCTCCTCTCATTCTGAGTCGCGTCTAGCAGTCTAGAAATGACGCTATATAGACGAAGAAAAAAGCTTGGAGCTCATTATTTCTCTAACTAACTATTAAAACCATGATTCCTTAAGTAAATGTACTCCATATTGCTCAGCGCAGGACGAGAAACGGGCCAACCATAATTCCATATATGCTGCGTTGCTGTTGCATGCTTCTCGAGAAAAAAAAACCGTGCGTGTGCGTTTTGTTTGGGACTTTGCGTGGTCGGCTCGGTCACCATCGCCTCTCATCTAGCCTGTGTCGGTCTGTTTGGGTTGCGCTTGCGTCGCAATCTGGAGTTCCGGACTGATCCTATTTGATTCCGATTTGGCGTGAATCCCAGAGCCTCTCGTCCTCTGTCTTCTACCGCTGCCGGTTGAAGTCACGAGCCGACATTCGGATTTCCATACATCTATTTCCATCCACACATGCACTACACTGCACCTGCTGCTCCGGCGTTGCAAGCAGTAACATTTGTGTTTGCGCCTAGTATTGTTTCGTGCTCTTGTTTAGTTGATTCGGAACGGAAAAGAAATGCTCTTGTTTAGTTGAGTACTCCATTTTTGGCGCGACTGCCATGCATCACCTAAGGACCATATTTCTTTCTTTAATTATTTAGTAGTTATATAGTATGCGCTTCTTCTAATTTTCTCCAAGAGTACCATATATTCCCTCTCCATCTGTTAGGGATTGACAAACAGGTCGGCATCGTACGTAAAAATATGCGCAGGCCTACTCGCGCGCATCCGACACGCCCTCGCCTGCCTCCCCGACGCCGTCTTGAAGAAGATCGTGATTTTCTCTGCGGCAGCCCCACCGACGCGCCCTCGCCTGCCTCCCCGCTGCGCCGCCTCGCGTCGGTGCCGCCCACTGTTGATGTGTCCGGGTCCTCCTCCCTGGCCTCCGCCTGGTCATCACGGACACGGAGGCCGCAGGCGCAGTGCGCTCCGCCACCTTGGCCTCCCGTCGCGCCGTCTCTATGTTCGTGCGACGTCGGGGTCGTTGAGACGTTGAGTAGCGTGGCTGTGGGGGTCATCGGCCGTGGAGCGTCGAGTTTGTGTAACGATAGGTTTGAGTCAACCCTAGGGTCGATGTTTCATGAACCGGATTGCACCTCTTTCGATTCTGTGTTCTGTGATTTTCGTTCCTCTTCGTCGCTTGCTAGCTTGTGTTGAGGGCCGGCAGGCAGCAACTTGCCTGCTTGTCTACTGCTGCTACCGACCGGCTGCTGCTGCCTGCTTGCCTGCTTGCCTGCTGGTACTACTACTAGATGATACTGATGGCCGGCTGCTGCTGCCTGCTTGCCTGCTGTTGCCGGATGATGGCCTGCTCATGTACTGAATGTAAAAGTGCTGACAAAATAAAATGCCGATGGAAAAAAAGTACTGATAAAAAAAGTGTGTGGATCATAATTTTGATATTTTGAAAGTCAAATATAGGGTACTCTGGGAGATGGCCTCTTTTTTTCCTTCCCGTACTTCTTTGAGAGTTGATAAAACACTATGTTTTGGGAACAAAATTTATGGTATTCTTGGAGATGCTCTAATGTAACTCTTTCAAGACATCAACACACAATCTCCAATATGACACTTTTGACTTGTAATCTTCTTTTATATGTGCAAGCACATTGCCAACCTTTGTGCATGTAATAAGGGGTCGTATTCCTTTTTAGTTTTCACAGCTTTTTTTTAGAAAAGGGAATATATTAATATTCCAGCTTCTGCATCGACTAATGCATATGGTTATTCATTATTACAAGCGAGCAAAACAAAGTCCAAGAAATCTCAAACACGAAGTTTTGAGCCATGAATACAACAAAATTCTCAAAAGAAAAGGACTAAAGAGCAATTCTATTGCTAAATCGTCAGCCGTGTCTAGCAAACACCTCCATCGCGGCCGTCTCAATAATCCTATAGCCCGCCTTCATGAAATGGCGATCCTCCTCCATCTGAAATAAGGTCCAGTACCTGGTCTAATACATTCTCTTGAAGATAACATACAAATAAGACGGTGCTATGGCCTTGTCAAACACAACATCATTCCGAGTTAACCAAAGAGCCCAGCAAATGGCACTTGTACCCATAAGAATTTGAGACTTTATTTTCCTATTTAACCCTTCCAACCAACCTGTAAACAAATTGTGTACACTAGTTGGAGGTTTCAGGTTAAAGAAAATATGAACAATTCTCCACATAAATTTAGCATAATGACAGTCAAAGAGTAAATATTGTATGATCTCATTGGTGGAACGGAAACAACACTTCCTATCTCCTTTCCACTGTTGCCTAGCTAAATTATCCTTGGTCAAGATTACGCCTTTGTATAAGTACCACATAAAGACTTTAATCTTGAGGGGTAGTTTAAGTTTCCAAATTAAAGTGTTGTAAGGTAAAGCCTGTACACCTAATAATGCTCTGTACATGGAATTAACTGAAAACAACCCTTTCTGATGCAGCCTCCATACAAAGCGATCCCTTTGGTTTCTTAATTATGCATCTGCAACCATGGCCACTACACTGTGCCATGCTTGCAAATTAACCCTCATCATAGATCTCCTAAAAGCTACATTTAATGGTGTCGTAGACAGTACCGTCCTAACAGATGCACTTTTCTTTCTCACAATGTTATATAGTGACGGGAAGAGTGTCTTGAAAGGGCGTGGCGTTATCCACGAATCCTCCCAAAAACACACTTGGGATCCGTCACCTAGACCAAACCTACCCATCGACAGGA